TTGCGGCATTCACAACTGCATATGGTTGGGTCCTTCGCCAGGCTAATTTTATTCTTCGCCGAGAATCCCCCTGTAGGGGGACACGCCCGACATAAGAGTAACCTCCAGAATGCCCTCGGCAAGGCGCAACCGACGGACACTACCCAGGGCCTCGAAAAAATCGGGAACGAAACACACACACCTCCGTTCCTGGGGCCGCGCACTCCCAAATCCACATCATGGAGCCTCCTCTCAGCCTCCTTTGCACCCCCTACCCTATCGCTCTCCTCCCTCTCCTCTCTCCCGCCTTCCCTCCCTACAATACGCCTCCTCTCCACGCTCCTCCCTCCCTGTCCCTTCCCTCCTCCCCCCCTCCTCCTCACGTCCCATCCACCTCCTCCTGCTGGGGCTCCTCCTTGATCACCTCCTCCCTCCTCCTCCACCTTCCTCCTCCTACCTGGTCCCTCCCCTGCTCTCCTCCTCCTCCTCCTCACCTCCTCGGTACTCACAGCCTCCTCTCTCCCACCTCCTCCGCCTCCCTTCCTCCTCCTCCTCCTCCTCCTACCTCACTCCTCCCTCGGAATCCTACGTAACTCCTCCCCACCTCCTCCTCCCTCCTCGCAGCTCCTCCTCCTCCTCCTCCTCTCTCCTCCTCCCCTCCTCCCTCCTCCTCCTCCTCCTCCTCCTTCGCTCCTCCCCCCCCTCCTCCTCCTCCTTCACCTCCCCCTCCTCCTCCTCCCTCACCTCCTACCCTCCGCCTCCTCCTCCTCCTCCTCCTTCTCACTCCTCCCTCCACCTCCCTCCTCCTCCTCCACCTCCTACCTCCCCTTCCACCTCCTCCTCAGCACACTCCTAAACCTCCTCCTTCCTCCTCCTTCCTCCTCCCCTCCTCCATCCACCTCCTCCTCCTCCCATCCCCCCTCCTCCCTCCCCCTCCTCCTCCTCCTCCTCCTCCTCCTCCTCCTCCTCCTCCTCCTCCTCCTCCTGTCGGGAATGCTTGCTTGGCGTGCCGCGACGGCGGCCCCGGCGACACGCAACGCCTCCGCGAGCGGATGGCGTGCCGCTCCGCTCCGCGGGGGCGCGAGGCCGGGAACAGCTCGGGCGTGGACGCTTGGGGACCGCGAAGCGGACAGCTTCTTCACGCTGAGGCGTGGTGAGCCAGAGCCTGCGGAGCGACGCGTTATCCCAAAGGTCCCCAGCAGGGGATACGTCGACCCCTTTATCCAAGGCTTCGTATGGCTCTTCGGCTGGACCAACACTTCGGGGCCCGACCCTGGGATACACGATGGGGGGGGGGGCGCCCGCCCTCGAAAGGGTTGCGTTCGAGTGCCCCCCCTGGGGGTGCATCCCAGGTTCCCCCTCCTTTTCGGAGCGGCTCCATTGTGTTCGTCGAAGGGTCGGGGATGGGGGGTGAAGAAACGCCTGCGACTTTAGTGCCCCGCAGCGGATTTTGTCTCCTAAGAGGATCGCCTCTTGATACTTCCCTTGCAGCCTCCCCCGCGGGACCCAGGGGGGTCGGCCTGCGACCTGGGCCCAAAAGTGGCAAGCCCAGGACTCAACCGAGGCAGACCCTCGCCGTGCGCCTTTGCCCACCACCGCCCCCCACCCTCCCGCGCGCAAGCGGGAGCTGGGCGCCGCCCCCGGGCTCTCTGCCGCGCCCCGGCGCTGCCTCCCCGCTCCCCCCCCCGCGCGCGCGCTCCCGCAGCAGTCCAGCCCCCCCGCGCGGGGGCTGCCTCGTCGAGTTCCCTCAGGGGGCCACTCTCCCTGGGGCGCCCCTCCCGCCCCCATCCCTCCGGCGCCGCTTCGGCAACGGCGACCACGCCAGTGGCGCGCCCCACCTCTGGGCCCTCCGGCGTCTCCCGTCGCCCTGGCCGTGCACCTCTGCGGGTTCTTGCCTGGTCGTCTCGGTCACCGCCTGGAGCCCTGCCTCACCAGTTCTGACCTGTCCCTGGTGGCGCCCCAGCGGGGCCAGCTGGTCATCGTCTTCACCTGGGATACCCCCCAAAGAAGGCGTGTCGGGGTGACGGCCCTCTGCCGCCCAGGGCGAGATGGCGCCCAGGGACCCCGCAGACCCGCGGGGGTCGGCGGGGCGAGCTCTGGAGGCCTCGGGGCCACAGTGCGGGGCGGGCGTGTGTTCCTGGCTGCTGGCTGCCGGTTCCTCCTCCTCCTCCTCCTCCGGCCTCCTCCTCTCCTCCTCCTCCGCCTTCCTCCTCTACTGCCTTCCTCCCCCTTCCTCACTCCTGTCCTCCTCCCTCTCCTCCTCCCTCCATCCTCCCTCCTCCTCCTCCTCCTCCTCCTCCTCCTCCTCCTCCTCCTCCTCCTCCTCCTCCTCGACTCCTCCTCCTCGTCCTCCTCCTCCTGCTCCATCCTCCTCCTCCTCCTCTTCCTCCTCCTCCTCCTCCTCCTCCTCCTCCTCCTCCTCCTCCTCCTGCCGCCTCCTCCTCCTCCTCCTCCTCCTCCTCCTCCTCCGCCCCTTCCTCCTCCTCCTCCTCCTCCTCCTCCTCCTCCTCCTCCTCCTCCTCCTCCTCCCCCCTTGTGGCACCTTGAAGGGCCTCCATACGCGTTGCCTCAAGCGATTTGCTTCAACTTTTCGAACGGAGGCTATGAGCGCATTCGGGAGGGAAGACACTCCAAGGCCTCTAAGCAGTCTTCAATCCCCCGGTTCCGATTGCCCAGGTCGCCAATCAGGAGGCCGAGGCAGAAACGCCCGAATCGCCGTAAGCGAGATCGAATCCTTTCCGAAACTGCGCGGTGGTCCTCATCCCTTACGGCTCCTCCCCGTCATACTCCGCCTCCTCGTCCTCCTCCCCTCTTGTGCTCGAGAAACTGGGGCCGTAGACCGCCCTGGACAGGAATCCAGGGGGAGGCGGGGGAACGACGGACCGAACGGCGGACTCTAAGCACCAGTAGGAATGTAATTCGAGAAGATGCCGTGAACGCATGCTGATCCTCCTCCTCCTCCTCCTCCTCCTCCTCTTCCTGCTCCTCTTCCCTTTACTTCTCCTCCTCCTCCTCCTCCTCTTCCTTCCTTCTTCCCTGTACTTCTCCATCCTTTCCCCTCCTCCTTCTCCTCCCTTTTCCCCCCGTCTCCTTCTCATGCCCCTCCTCTTTCTGTTCCTCCCTCCCCCATCGCCCTCCCCCTTCTTACCTCTCCCGCTCCCCATGCGCTCGTCCTCCTCCTCCTCCTCCTCCTCCTCCTCCTCCTCCTCCTCCTCCTCATCTCCTCTGCCGCCGACGAAGCCTGGTGCCACAGAAACGCCGCGCCGGTCACCGCGAACTCCCCCACCTCTCTGGGCGGAGTGGCTAAGGGCGCGGGGGGGGGGGGGGGCGAACACGGACAGAAGGGGCGCTAGAAGGGCGCGAGGAAGGGATCCCGACATGCTCGCGTCGAAACAACGGAAAAAACGACGGATGTTGTTGGCAATTCTTGGTCTCCATGGGGCCCTTAACTTGGGCCCGGAACCGTCAAAAAACGGCTCTGGATGAGACGCGGGCCCCAGAACCGTCAAGAAACGGCTCGGGATGAGACGCGGGCTCTAGAGGAAGGGTCTGAACTTCTGGGGACCGCGTGTGTAAAAATCGGGGACGCACTGGCCTGGGTCAACCGAAACCCGGGTCAAGCAGGCCTTTCAGAAACCTGCAATATCCAGCAGGATCCCACCGGATCCGGCACCCGAGCCTGGGTCAGTGCGGCCCTGGCCCTGCAGGGTCCTGCAAGATCTGGCGCTCTGACTGACCCCCCGTCTGCACTGAATCCCCGCCTCCTGAGCCCCGAACAAAATGAGGACGCCGCACTTCCTGGAAAGGAGATGGGACGGAAATGAGAAGTAGAACAAACCACGTGAACAGAAACTTTGGGCACTCCGCGCGGATTTCTCGGATCCGCGCTGGACCCCCCTCCCTGGCGCGCGGAGCGCGCAAGGGGCGGCGCCGGAGGCGCCGCCGGGGGGCCCAGGCGCGGATCCAAGAAATCCGCGCGGAGCGCCAAAGGTTTACGTTTCTGTGTTGTTTTCTTCGTCGAGAGATGGCCTGTGGGGCCGAGGGCGGGGTTTTCGGAGGAGTAGTGAGCGCGTTGAAGGGGCACGCTTTGCGCGAGGGCCTCCGCCCCTCCTCTTTGGGCGAGTCCTCCTCCCGAGGCTGGGCCTCGCTGCGAGCCGAGCGCCCTGGAGGAGACAGGCAGGAGCGGGCCGCAGACAGTCAACCCGCATGCAGTTGACCCAGATTGGACAGGACACGCGAGAGGACACAGGACCCTTCCTCGGGCCACATCGCCCAGGGAATGAAAGAAGGCATGGGTCCGCGAGGCACAGGACACGATGGTACCCGAGGGTACCCTTAACTTGGCAGGGTCGACCTACTAATCCGGGCCGACTGTAGCAGCAAGGCTGCGCGATGAAGAGGATGCAGAAGGGCCCTGGGCGCCCGCTCCGAGGCTCTTCGAGCGGGGCGCGGCCAGCGGCAGTGGCCAGGGGTGGACCGCAGGAGGCTGGGATGCGAGGGCACCCTGGGGAGGGGTGCCCCTCCTTCCAGGATGGCCCGAGGAGGCAGGATGCAAGGGGCACCCCCTCCAGGACTCGGCCTAAGTCAAGATAAGGTAAGACAAATGCGGGCCAACTGATGCAAATGTTATGTGAATTGCTAAGGTAGCTACGCAAGATACCTGAACTTAGAACCGCTTAACAGACTTGCAACTATGTTGCAGCTATCTTACAACTACCTTACAACTACACGACAAGTACCTTACAACCCAACCCAACCCAACCTCCAGGTTCACTATAGCAGGACTCCAGGAGGAGGGCAGGGGGGGCGAGGGCGAGGCCGAGGGTCACGACGACGGCCAAGGCCCACGCTGCCCCAGGGCGGTGCCGGGGCCGCACCGGGAGCGCCGCGCGGCGCCACCGCCCTCTCGGGGGCCAGGGGCCCCCGCCTCCCGCACGGCCAAGGGGCAGCTGGAAGACGACCACGGGGCAGCCACGGGACAACCAGCGGCGCGGTCGCGGGGGCAGCCACGGGACGGCCACGGGGCTCCGCCGAGCGACGGCCACGGGCCCGCCGCGGGCCCGCCGCGGGACAAACCACGGGAGAAGCTCGGGGGAGCCGCAGGACAGCCAGCGGGGGACAGCCGAGGAGCAACCGCGAAACAACCATGGGGACGAATCACGGGCCGGTATCGCGGGACGACCGCGGGATTAGCGCGGAACAGCTACAGGACGACTACGGGACAGCTGTGGGACAACTGCGAGACGCCCATCAAGACAACCACGGGACGATCACAAGACAACCACGGGACACCCCTGGAGACAACCGCGGGAAAACCGCAGGAACACCATCGAGACAACCATCGGGGCAATCGTCGGGACAACATGCGGGACAACCAACCATCAGGACAATCTTCGGGACAACAATCGGGACGACCGTCGGGAAAACGATCAGGACAACCGTCGGGAAGACCATGGAAACATCCACGGAGCAATGACGGAACCAACCGCGGGGAAACCACGGGACAGCCTCAGGACGGCCCCGGGCACGCAACGGGACGATCACGGGACAACCTCGGGACAACCCTGGGTATGCGTGCGACTCCGTGGCATGTGTCCAAGTAGCGCAGAAACTCGCGCAGCTTCGCCTCGCCAGCTCGCACGACACACATCGAAACCAACACCGATTTCCCGGTTGAGCCACTCCGTTTCACTTCCGTCTACCCCCCAAGCCTCAAAAACACACATTACTGTGTACATGCATATGCGCATGACTACCGTCCCCCCACCGCCTTCCCCTTCGTCTTATCCTTTCCCTCTTACTCTGCCTCCCTCTCCTCCCTTCATCATCCTCCTCCTCCTCATCAATTATTATATATCTCTCTTATTTGTTTATTTAGTTTCCATCGCATTATTCACAGCATACGCATATCCAATCAATTTCCCTCATCAAATCATGTGAAGTATTTATCCTTTTTTCTCTCATGATGATATATAAATCTTTTGACAAAAATTCATTCATATTCATATCCTCTCACAGTCAGAAGCCAGACTCACTCCTCCTCTTTCTCCCCCATCCTCCCGCTCCCCCGGCCTCCCCCCCCCCCCTCCCCTCCTTGCTAACTTTCACGCAGAGGTCTCCCCCCTCCTATATTAAACTCGTAGCTTCGCGAATTGACCATCCCCATTCCCATTACCATTCCCATGGGAGGACCCCCACGGTGTCTCCTCCCCATCCTCCTCCTCCTCCTCCTCCTCCTCCTCCTTCTGTGCGACGCCTCCAGCCCTAGGCTCACAGGGCGGTGCGTCACCACGCTGCTGGACCTTCTTGCACCAGGGCGTGACCCTGCCCGTCGCTTGCCGAGGGAGTGTTTACAGATGTGGGTTCGGACATGGGTTTCGCAACCGGCGCTGCGCAGCGGGATCGAGCGAACTTGGAGATCTTTGGCCCAAGAATTTCGTTCCATGCCGCCACAGCTGCGCAGCCGCCACATACGCGGACCCCAGGCAGCAGTTATCAACTATCTCTTGCAGGAAGGATGGGAGCCAGAGGGTCCATCAGATTGGCGAGTACAAGACGATGGATCAGGGCTCCAGCACAACTGGCAGTTCAACCCTGAGGCTTTCACGGGCTTCGAGCAGGTGGACGTGCCGAAGGCTTTCCTGCAGGAATACGAGGGCGCCGTGATGCAGAGGCTTTGGCGGCAGGCAGCCTTGCATTTTGACGGAGGCGGCATGGAAGGAGGGATCTGCAATCTCTCCTTGCGGGCCCTTCTTCGGCAGCTCGAGGAGGGGCCCAACGGCAAGCAGCTGGCTGGGCTACTCCTGTCGGCAGCAGCGGGAGCAGCATGGCCACGGGTGCGCAGGTCAGAGAAATCCAAGTTGCCGATATCCCAGATTTGCGCACGGTGTCGAGCAGAGCGGGAGACCTCTTTCCACCGCATTTGGAGCTGTTCTAAGTGTGTAGATCATGATATATATCGTGTGTCAGACGAATATGCACCCAGAGCACATTCACAGTATGAAGTTGAACCGTGTTTCTGGCACCGAGGTTTGCTGCCGCAGTCCTGGGTAGCCGTCCCGCCCCCACAAGAGGAGGCAGATTGGTGGTCTGAGGGAGTCGAGGTTTTCGAAGATAACTGCTTCGGCGTGGGCTCTCCGTTGGCCCCCCTGTGCCTTTTCGGGGACGCGAGCGGGGGCGAAGATACTTCCGATCCCAGGCTCCGCAGAGTAGGATGTGGAATTGCACAGTATTCTGACATCTCAGATAATATGCAGCTTGTTGCTTCAGTTTGGGGAGGCCTCCCAGGTCCCGTCCAGACAGTTGCCAGGGGTGAACTTTTCAGTTTCTTGTCAGCGCTGATCGGCGCTGATGGTGTCACGCTCTATACCACAGATAATTCCAGTGTGTGCTCAGGATGGTACTGCGGGCGGGCCTTCGCCCCAGAGGGGGAGAACGCGGACCTTTGGTATCAGGTAGGTCAGGTGCTCAGACGAAAACCGACCTTATCTTGCACGGTCCTTTTTGTTCACTCCCACCAGGAGGCCCGAGATGTACTCCAGGGTAAAGCACCTCTGTATTTGACGGTAGGTAATGCAGCTGCTGACAAGTTGGCCGAGGCAGCGGCTCGTTTAGTACGCATCCCAGCCTCTGATAGATCGAAAGTTTTCCTGAATGAGAAGATGGCTTTCGCCGTCCGCATGCGTATTTTACTGGCCACAGTCGAGACTTTAAAAGCCCAGGCCGCCCTGGCGGCCGAAGAGCCCCGAGGAACCCGTGTCAGGAATCCAGGGCCCAGGCCACCAGCGCCTCTGGTTTGTAAAGAGTTTTCGACCCTGCATACGCTGTCTGAAAACGGTCTATCTTGTTTGAAGTGTAGGAGCTCCACCACTAAAGGTCTGCGCAAGTTTTGGTTGGAAACCCCATGCTTTGACCTGAGGGCTATAGATGGCGTTTTGCTCAGACCGCCCCCCCGTTGCAGGGTGCACATCTGTGGGGGGTGGGCTGACGACAGTCACACATTACAGTTTCACGCTGGGCTGGGGATTTGGTTCTGTGGCACTTGTGGAAGTTTTGCGGCCCAACAGTTGGCCCAACTCGGAAAGAAGTGCGACGGCAGAGCCACAGGTAATCGTGCTGATTATTTAAAGAATATTGAACGGGGGATCTGGCCTAAAGCTTATAGCAAAGCTGACAAGGCCAGAAGAGCGGCTCGTTCTCTTTAATCGTCATCGTAACCGACACAGTCGCAATATCCGTAACTCCGTAACTCCTCCTCCTCCTCCTCCTCCTCCTCCTCCTCCTCCTCCTCCTCCTCTTCTTCCTCCTCCTCCTCCTCCTCCTCCTCCTCCTCCTCCTCCTCCTCCTCCTCCTAATCTCCCCTCCTCCTCCTCGTCGTCGTCCTCCTCCTCCAAATCTCCTCCTCCTCCTCCTTCTCCTCCTCCTCCTCCTCCTCC